GTTTAAATAAACAACCTGTCACTTCATTCATTTCAAAAATCGTTTAATAATTAAAGTACATCAGTGCAGAAACACCCTGGAAAACATAATTTTCACAAAAATGTCCAATGTCTCGGTTCAAAATTTTGATCCCACAAAATCCATCAATTTGTGATAGAAAGATTCAAGCAGAAGGAGATTTTTACAGCAATTTGCAATTTCAAAGTTGTAATAATTTATATATCAATAATATTTTGCCGATAAGCCTGTGTAGAGGTCAGAGAACTGGCATTGTCTCAGAAAGTTTCCAAGTTTGAATCCCAGGAAAGGCATGGATGTTCTTTCCTTCTCTGTACTATCTGTCATTACTGTGGGAGCAACAATCTGGTATTTCTGTAAGAGTCGCCAACAAATGTGCCCATCAGACAAAAGGTAATTCTCCCGGTTGGCATAGGAAAAAAAAATTTTACCTCCCCAAACACTTTTTTAAATTAAGTTCTTTAAAGTCAGTATGTTTGAGTAAATGTTGTCCCATATTTAGAATATTTTTTTTATGTCGGATTAGCTTTTTATTTATTTTCTTTTTTGTTGACAAAAACGCTTTCCAAGGACGAATTAGATTGCTCTAAGCTCCCTATTCACCTAATCTTAAATACTAAAGGAAATATTGCAAATACAATTTAAGAAGTAAACTCCTTTCAAAAGGTTTTGAAGAAAAGAGTGAATATTTTGATGAAATTTTATTTCAATAATATAAAACATTAACTGAAATGTAATATTATAACTTTCCACAAAATATAAACTAATAAAATATTTTAATTTGTATTTCTTTTTTTTTTAAATTTATGAAATTCACTTTTATAATTATAAACAGATTAAAATTAAAAATTTCAATAGCATTAATTGTTATAAATTCACAAACATTGCGTTTTTCTATTTATCTAAGCTTTACAAATTAATCTAAGCTTTACAAATTAAAACTCAAAGAACCAGGAGAGGATTTTGGTATAAGGATTTCGTTCTATTAATGAAACAAATAAGAAATTTCCGATTTTTAAATGACAAAGTTAGCAATTGCGGTGAGCAATTAGAGTCAAGTAATTGCTTTATAGCAGTTTAAAAAGAACATTTTCTCAACATGATTTCTGCGAAGCATAATACAACTCTTAATTTTCCGTTTTTACAAATTAAACAATAGATTTAGTTAAATTAAAATCATGGGAAATTTATGTGACTTTAATTAAAGATGACAAAATAAATGAAGTAAGTAATAAAATCAGCTTTGAAACTCGTTTATTCTAATCTTTGTTTTAAAACAAACATTTTAAGAACGTTTAGAGTTAATTGAAATTTGATAATTGCGCAAAATCACATCCAGTATTAAAAATAAATATTTTTTTTTAACTAATCTGTTCTTAAATCAAAGCCATATCTTTATTTCGCTCTTTACTTAATTCGCTGTTAAAAGTATTTGTTTAAATAAAACTTTAACTTCAAAAATTAGGGGGGAAATGTAATATTAATATTAAGATTATATTGATTTTTCATTACTGTAGTGTGTAGTTTCTTCTGCAACTTTTTTAAAATCTTCAGATCTTTAAAATATGGGAGTTGGCAAGTAATATCATATGCATTGATAAAACTGTATAAGAAACAATATTTAAAAATTTTTGTAGTCGCACTTAAGCGTCTTGAAAACACCTGAATATAAATAAAATCTGGTTACTTTATTATTTTTTGATAAGATATCTGAAGCAATTTTCTTTTAATACTATTGTAAAACGCTAACTCAATCTTGCAAGTATTTATATTATAAACATAGTTTTTATTACTTAATTTAAAATTATTCATTTGAAATTTGAGACAAGAGGTATATATCTTTTTTATTTTTATCACATTTTAAATATTGTAAATTAATTATAATTGTTAAAGTTTCTTTGATTAACTATATATTGAAAATTTACCCGAAGAATATTTACATTGTAATAAAAAAAATCAATGTAGAAAAAAATCTTGATTAAATATTCATCTGAAAGGTCATGTATATTAATTGTGAAAACATGTTTTATAAGGGCACTCTATATCTTATTATATGGTTACATCAGCTCAATTTATTGTATTTTTTTTTTAAAAAAATGTCCAGTTTAATATGTTTACATATAACTCCTACTTTGATTTTATTACGTTGGTAGTGCATTATCTCATATCACCGAACTACAGTCAATGGAATTGGTTCGTTAAGAACAAACATTTTGCAAGAGCAGCGTTCTAAAAATCTAATACATATATAATTCTCTTACGTGGCTCCCAAATTTTGGCTGTATTTCTTTTCCTCCGGTGGCAACGTTTGCTTTGTTTTGTTTGCGTTACTATTTCTCTTACACGGCGAATCGACCAATGATTGCCGCTAAAAATTTCACATGCCAAATCTAGCTGAGGTGGCTCAACATATTGCGCTTTTAAAAACGGAAACTGAAATAACCAGAGAGTATCAGCTGCGGCAATCTCATACTATTAAGCTAGGCAGAAGTGAATTCAAATTTATTTTAATGACTTAGTATTTACTAAAAAGATGTAATTGTTTTGAAAAAAAAGTTTTTATATAGATTTGAATGATTGTTTTGAATTCTTAGAATTTTGCGCATTTGCAATGTAGCTAAGTTAGTAGCGAGCGAAGCGAGCATGGTTTGCGAAGCAAACCATATAAGATTGAGTAGCAATTTTAGGGGGTTGGCGAGCGTTAGCGAGCAGTGGGCGCAGCCTACTAGTAGTAACTAATGGCAGTAAAATTTCCGTCCTTCATACTAGAGACAGCTTTTTAAAAAAATATGTGAGAAATGCTATGCTTTTCCGTCTTATTCTTGTATATAATTACATGTTTGTGCAAGTTTAAATTAATTCAGATTAAACACAATATTTACTACTTTTTTTGGTTTATAAATTTAATTGATAAGTAAATTTTTTGGCTAAGATTGTTAGATTAGTATATAGTACCTTTAAATAGTTATAGAATTGGTAAAAACTTCTGATGTGCCCACGTAAAACTATTTTTGCATTAAGAAGAAATATTTAAAATGTTTACAATATTCGATGCTTTCCTAGTTTAACTCTCTGAATAAATTTTAATGGTGCTTTTGGGTTTTGTTTCAGGTGTTATATTAAGTAAAATTTCAGATTGGGAACTGTAAGAATAAAGAATCTTGAATAAATCTTTAAATAAAACTACAGAAATAAATTATATATCGCTATACTTTAAGGTTAAAATCACCACTCGATTTAAATATAAATATATTTTCACAATTATATAGTGTGGGCTTCTATTATATAATTTCAGAATATGAATAATGTATGACAATTAATGACTAGAGTAAAATGAGAGATGACTAGAGTATTGATTTATATAAAACCTGTTTCATAAATTAACAGAATAAAATATAATTAAAAGTGAAGCTGTTCAATTATTATTTCTCAACTTATATTGAAATATTCATTCAAAAATTCAACTGGAAACAATATATACCATAGAGTAAGAGGGGGTGGGGGAAGCATGGTAGCAGAATTCAGTGATATAATTTTATTTAGTATTTCTGTATTGCTAAGTACAGCATGACGCGGAATTACATTATAAAACTATTCTACGCCCTATTGCTTCACAACAATACAGAAAATTAAGTAAAACTATATTGTCAAACTATTCTACTAACATGCAAGTCTTCGCCTTGCTTATTCCAAAATTTAAAAAAAAAACAACGACTCAAGACAATAACAGAAAGCATCAAAAGTAATGCAAAATAATATTGGTTTGGTTAGAATTAAGCGTTATACAAAGGTGAGAAAACAGCGATATTTTGTAACTTTCTAATATTTGAAAGTTGTGCAAAATGTCTGATTTTTTGGTTAATTAATATTATCTGATATTAAGTGATACTTGGGTAAAATCTAGTGCATTTTTGTGTAAAATTGACAGGCGACAATTTTTGTTTAAAACTTTTTATAATACTTTTCTTATAATAGTTTTAAAAAAATTCATGCTTTATTACTAACGATGTGTTTAATGCTAAATATTTCACTTTTTTTATAAATTATGTAACAATTGAAATATAGTTTATTTTTGAGATATTCCATATTTTAATCAATAGATTATTTTTATTGATAATTAATCTACATTTATTCTTGAATTGTTATTATAATAATACTTATCACCATTATGAAAATCAATTTTACTAAAATTTTTAATGTTTATGTATGGTAATTATTTTAAAGAATTAAATATATCCTTCAATGTATTAGATGATATAGTAATTCTGACGTAAATGTAAAAAGCATGGACTATTCACTTTTTAAAAATAAATATAGAAATAATATGTTACTTATTACCTAAAAAAGACTGGTTCTGTTTTTTTACTTATTAAAGCATTGTTTGACATTTTTAGCATGTATTTATGTTTTTTTTTTTTTGTTAAATGATTTTGAAATATTAGGCTTGTAAAATAATATACATTTTGAACCCCCGAAGAAATATAACGCTTAATGAATAAAATAAATTTTAATTTGTAGTCTATATCCTTCAGTATTCAAATCGAGAACGTAATTTAAATTAAAATATATATTTGGAATAGGAAGCATTCTTTACTTTTTTTAAATAAACACTGTAAAACTGTGAGTTCTTATTACTTAAAAGGAAGTGAAGCCATTGTTTGCGACTTATTTAAGCATAATTTGAAATCAATGCTTGGAATTTTTGTTATTTATTTATGTTTCCTTTAAAAAAATATTTTAAAGAACCAAGTTCGTCACAAAACACAGATTTCGAACCCACGGAAAAATATTACACTGAGAAATAAAATCAGCGCTCTAAATGACTTGTAATTAAAACTTAAATATATATTTAGAAGCCGGCGTATTCTTGCCTTTTTAAAAATCAAAAAATAAACCCAGGAATACCGTGGCTACTTATTACTTAAAAAGAAGTGGCGCTGGTGTTTGTGGCTCGTTCAAATATCGTCTGAAATCGATGAACTCCCATCCAGAGTCCTAACTCTAGACAGTTTTCCGTTAGTTCAACTGCTCATAGTCTTTGAGTGAACAATTCGTCTTTTTAATTCTTCTGGTTACTTTCTAGCTGAAGGAGAAAGTGGAAGTTGTAGTTTTTTTTCTAAAACTTTTGGAAGTGTGCCGTTTTCTGGGACGTCATTACCTTAGTTTTAGTGTATGCCTCTGGCTTTATTTTGAAGGCATATTTTTGTTTGTTTAAAGTTTGGATTATGTTGGCTCGACTTAAAACTTTCTTTCTGGTGATTCAAAAAAGAAATTAACTTCATTGTTTGGAGTTGGTAAGTTGGAATTTGAGTTTCTTTTAGAAGTTCATTGAACAATGTAATTAAAGATAATAAAAAAATTGAAGAATGCTATTTAAATGATTCAATTAAAAATACGTACAATAAAGTTGAAAACAATGTTTGATGGGGCTTGGTAAGCATAATTTATATATCTGTTACATTAAGCTATCAATGTTTTCTGTTTATAAATGTCTATTAAAATAAAAGTGTTTATAATTGATATAAGCTGTTATGAATTTAATATAGTTGCATATTTTAAATTTTTTATAGATATAAAGTTTAAAAATATTTTCTGAACTTATATATATTCACTTAATATTATAATGTACAATTTTGCTTTTTAATTAATTAACATTGAATTTTTGTTTTTAATTTTTATTGCATTTATGAAATTTTAAAATGATACACAAGCAACTTAAATGTATTTTAAGTAATTCGTCTTTAAATGATAAATTTTTGAATAATTAATTTTTTAATGTCTACTGAACTATAATATATAAGAGATAAAACAAATAAATAAATGAATTAAAACTTGTAAAACTGGAAAGACCACAAGAGAAAAGTACCAAAAGAAATTTTGCATAATTAAGTTGAAATATTTTATTAAAAACCAACAAAATACAAAAAGTAGAGCTGCCGTTATTTCTAAAAAATGCTTCCAAAAATTTAAAAACTCACTCTTGAAAAATTATTTTTTTCAGGTTACGCATAAACAATTGTAAATTTTTGCATATACTTGTCTAAAATCGTTATAATAGCTCTTTTTTTTAAAAAAGTTTATTCTAAAGCTATTTCAGTACTTAAACAGCCATTCTGGTTGTTCTCTATTGAATTGAAAAGCTAAGTGACTACCAAGAGACATTGTGAACATTTTATGTTTAAATTACGTTATGTGTGTATAGAACTTAGTTATTTGCTTTCAGTTCATTTAATAAGACTTTTTTTTAATTGAAAAATGTGTTTTATAAATAGCTTTCTATTGTTAGTATATATTATGAAGCGGGTGTTCGTAAATCCACAAAAATGTTTGTTCCAATAAGCTTTATTACTGACATATGACGAGGAAGAAAGGTTTATATACAAAACGTTGATTTGGAGAAAATCGAATGTCAATTTCAAATTTTATGAGCCTTCAAGATCAAGCTTTCAGTTGGAGTGAGAAAAAAAGAACAAGAATATTATTAATATTTTTTACCTCTCCAAGAAATTAAAAAAAAAATACTATTTTTTATGTTAGGAAAAATAAAATCTGAAAATTGGGTTGGACTAGAATATTTCTTTTCACAAAATTTCATCCCAATGAATACTTAGTCTCTAATTTTAACCGTGATTTTACTCATTATACGTCTCTTTTCTTTTACGAGTAGACAATAATCGTTTTTCCAAACCTCGGCTCATCTTCACCGCAAAATAACTGTCAGAGAGAATCGATTTTCCTCGTTATTAATTTGTAAAACCTGAATAATATTGAAAATACACAAATTGGTGATCGAGCCGTCATTTTTGCTTATAAACCATTCTAACAATGTAATTTGCACCAGCAATGTAAAATCAATATTGAATTTCAGTAAGTAAATGTTTCCTTGGTATAGAAACAACATGCATTTCCCCGAGCTTGTGAAGCAATAGGCTTATGATATCGGCAATGTACGAAATGCAGAATCAATGTTAACACTGTGATTTGCATCAACAATGCAAATCAACAAGGTGAATCTTAGATCAAGCATTAGGTGAAACTAGATAAAGCGGAGAGCAGTTTGATCGAACTAAGCAGCATTTGTGTTATATTGAGTGGAAAACTACGAAAATTTCCCATGGTTAGCCGATGAAATGCAGATTCTAACCTATGACCCCTTTACCACCGAGAATATTTTACATCACATAGTCAGAAAATTTATCGAAAGATATCGCTAAATGTCAATGTATTTAATCGTCAATTTACCATATTATATAAACAATCAAATAACCGTGGATGGATGGTAATTGAATTGTAAACTGTGAGAAAAATCGATTATTATCTAATTTCACCTAAAACGGTTAAACAACCAGATTTTTATCGCATCAACTAGGCTCACCTGATGAAACTACGAAGCTCCTTGCAACTGCGCACATATGATCTGTCTGCAGATCTGTCAGTCTCATGACCCACAGAACTGGGGTTCGAGTCTAAGTAATGACATCACAATATTTCCTCCATTCTCTTCAACACATGGAGAGTTTTCAGTGCTCTGCACTCCCCAATTTGTGTCCTGTACTCTCTTCTGCCCGTTATCCATTGAGAAGCCTAGCTCCTATGTCCAATTAATTTTCTTTTCTGTGGTTTTAAAACCGTAAAAGTTGTAAATGGCTTCATAACCATATTAGTTACAAACGGTTTCAAAACCGTAAAGATAAAAAAATGTTCTTTACCGTAAACTTCAAGATTAATCGGATGGACAGAATGCTGCCGGTGATTTTACCATAATTTTAGAATGAAAGTGCAGCTTCTTGGTCGGGGATGGGACCAGGAGAAGATTTCGAATCGACCAGCTATCGTTGGTATCAAAATCAGGGTCACCTCATTGGAAGGCGAGGTATTGGATATCATAGGTCTCTATCCCCTGAGCTACCTCGGCTAAATTTACCGGGAAAAAGCCCCTCACATCCATACCTTTCTATATTTACCTAAGTTGATACAAAGAGCGTAAGGTAATTACTAAATATTATGACTTTCACATCGAAGAAAGCAAAGCAAACTGGGGATTATTAAATAGTTGCACCGAGAAATTACTTTCAACTAGGTAGTAGTAAATCAGAAACAGAATCAGAAATTAGTTAAAAGTAAGAAACAATCATATTTGATATTTTGCTGGTTTGTCATTTAGCATTGTATGCAATACCTAACCATTATGAGAAAACTTAAATAATTTTAATATTTTTAATATTTTTGTAGACAATGTTTCGTTCAGTATACAATCACTACGTATTATTTACGTTACTGGATTTTCAATACCTGCAAGCTGTGAATAACCACGTACTTGCGATTACACCTGCAAGTCTATTGTATGAGAAACTAGTGTTTCAAATTGAAGGTCACACTATGCCTCTTTCTTTTTCGCTGCTTTTTACTCACCTGCGAAGTTTCACCTTGCGAATAGAATAGCCATCAGCGTTCTTACATGAATTATTTCCGTAACATGCCATATTTTTGCATAATAGAGTGTTTTAAAGTTCAATTAAAAATGTGTTTTAATTTAATAATGTATTTAAGTTTTTGTAAATGTAAATAACTTTTGTTTTGCTTAAAACTTACAATCTAATTAATAATTAAAATATCAATCATACTGTAAAAGATTGCAGATCAAATTATGATAGAAAGTATCGGCATTTTGGGTAAATCATAGGTAAAATTCATTTTTACTGAAAAGTGTTATACCGTAAATTTTACTGTGATATTTATTTATTTAAAGCGATTCAGTGATTTTACCATAATTTTTACTGCAAAACTTACGGTGAATCAGATTTTTTGTTCCGTAACATGTTCCGGGAAAAAGGATTTTACGGCAAAAACTAATTGTATATGAAGTATAAGTCGTAATAAAATTGTTGGATGTATACAAAAGTAAAGCACGGAGCTGTAAAATGCTGAAGAGCAGAAAAGTAATGCTACAGGAAAAAAAATGCTATTTCCTGTAGCAGATTTGCTACAGGAAATAGCAAATCTGCTCATTTCTGAAACAAAACGAAGAATAGTATGCAGAAACAATATTGCATTTGCATAAATTATATGCTAACGTCGTATTAACGTCATTCTCAAAATTACGTTTAAAATTTTAAAAAAGACAGCAAAATCTGACATCAATCGTGTGTATGAGTGTAGAGATGCTGGCATCATAGAATGTAGAAAATTGCAGAAATCAACTATAAAATGACTTTGATAATTTTCATTTTTTTTATCACATGGTTACTTAAAATCACTTTGACTAAGAATTGCAACCTTCCAAAAATTTACTAACAGCCCTTTAAAAAACATCATACCGGTACATCTAAGTTATAATCTATTTTCATAATTATATTACTCTCCTCTAAAGACAAATCACCCTTCTATTTATCGAAAATCTTAAAGTTCTAGATAGAACTTACTGGAAATGTTTTTGGCAGATATTCCCGTTTGTTGACATTTCAAGAATTCTAGAAGTATTCAATGTATAGAACTGGAAGATATCTGTTTGGATAGAGAGATGAACTTGAGGGATTAAAATGGAAGCTATCAGAGTAAAAGTGCTTAAGTGAGTAATGGGTAAAACAAAGGAAGTAGAGGGAGAGAATGTGTGATAAACAATAACACAGTGAGTACCCCTCATTTTCACACAGAATGTTCAGTGTGTGATCATGCTTGTTACGAGGTGGTCAACCACTTCAGAGCCCAGTGATTGCCATTCCTCTTTTGGAGCAGTTTACATATCTGTGAGAGTGGCTGCAGGAGGTAAACGAGCACACACAGCTAGGGTGACTGCATCCCAAAGATTTTCAAATGGATAAAGATTCGTTGAGTAAGCCTGTCACGCCATACGCGCAATGCCATCACTCTCTAAATAGTCATCAACGAGGGCAACTCTATTAGAACGCGTATTGTCGTCTATTGAAACGTAAATAAGACCATCTGATGCATCATTTAAATTCCCAACTCGGTCTAGGACTTAATCCCTATACTGTCAAGAACTTCACTGCAGGTGCGCAGATCGCTGCGATATCTCATTGAAAATCTTAATCAAGCCATGATGAGATTTGTTGCTTTGAAACAAGCAACAGTTTCTTCAGTGATTATAGAATCTGGTCCTCGATATAGAATCTGGTTTCGCAGGTCCGAAGGAGTGGGGGTTCGATTTTTGAATTTGGAAAGATCCAACGAGTACATGCAATCAGCGTAAAATCTGAGCAATCTGAGTCCTGCGGTTGGTCGCTGAGCAGTACCATGGCTACAAGGATTCGGAAACAATTTTCTTACCCTTTAG